CAACATTCCCTGGACTCATTTATTGAAATTACCCACAATTATTATATGTATCAGATATTTCATGTCGCAAGAACGTTATCATTGTATAATTATTTAAACTTCTCGACGAAGGCCTCCGCTTGAATTGTCGAAATTTTGCTCACAGTTTTCAGGTAGTTACTTATCTTTCACACTGCAGCCGCTTCACACTAATGTTTGATGCCGATAATTTCCGCACGAGAGTAACGAGACATGCAAATGAACGAATTTGATTGAGGAAGTTATGGGAATCGTATGACCAATATGGTAACCAAATACTGTATGACCGATTTCCTGTGGATGTTGAATAGAGTATCTCAAATTTACTTAATTTTTGTTGGCTTTCCCTAAAGAAAAAAACACTTGTGAATTAGCTGAAAGTGTTAATTGATTGAAAATCTATTTCTCAATTATGAATGATAACGGGCAGCAACAATTTACGAGTGATCACAGTCTGCAATTTTTATTGATTTTAAAATTATTATGCGTATGTAAATCTTAAGCCCTATATCTCATTATATAATACGCGATTTAAACTTCGAAACGAGTCCCTACTTGTTTTTTTTTAGGAAATTTGTATTTACATTAAGAGCAAGGCCGTTCCTATAGACGCGATAATTGATGGGGTGTATATTCATATATACATGTTCACATAGCGTAAAAACAATCGCTTTCAAAAGAAATCTGTCGGGCAGAACAGGAATATATGAATATTCCCCCCCCCCAATTATCTCTCTAGGAACGGCCCTGATTAAGAGAAACTAGTCAAATTATTTAAAGCGATATAAAGATATCTGTAATTTTCTTGTTAATATACATACCAATATTTTTGCTGCAAAATAGTTAGAATAAATGGAAGGGTAGTTTGATGCATCAAAAAATGTTCTGCATAAATTTTGCATGCGAATTTTGGTTAAAAAACGTAGACATATAATTATCCACGCAGCAGGGAAATGAGAAAATTGTTGTATTTTATTACTTAGATAAACCAGTTTTCCATGTATACAAATGAACAATTTAAGAAAACTATTTTGAACCTTCATATATTCAGCAATTAATTGCGTAAGGGTTTAAAGACCATGTAACGTCCGTTCTGCGCATACGTTCAGCCATAGTTAATAGAGGAGATGTTTGGAAACTCGTTAGCATTACAATAAAATGACATTAAACCTCATTATCTATGTTGTTCAGGTTTATGCAAAAATGTGGTCTTTCATCGTCACGTGCGCATTGTATTTCTCTCCAGTCAACCAATAGGAATGTTCAAAATGTCCTGGTTCAAAATTGCCTCATGGATGGGCAATAGGGCAAAACCGTTGCTATTGGCTGGTTGAGCAAAAATACAATACGCACGTGACGATGAAAGACCACATTTTTGCATAAACCTGAACAAAAACATAGATAGTGCCGCATAGATAATTAGTATAGAGCACTTTATGGAACTAAATTGTCTTCTATTTTTATTATAATTAAAATTCTTCAGCCAAGCATAGTATGCAATTAAGAAAGAATTGTGTAACGTAGCAAGATGTTACGAAATTATTACAAAATGTATTTAACCACAATATATTGGCGATGGAATGCGTAAGAAAACTAATTAAAGGATTGTCTTCCTCAGATTCAGCAACATCAACAAAAAGTTTGATGAAAAAAACACGTCCAAGTCGGTCAAAGTCTTGATGTTTTGGATGAAAAGTATATAATTATAATAGCACAAGTGCAGAGTAAAAACCCGATATTTTGAAAAATTAATATCCACTTTTGACGCAATGGCTTCATTTTCATGTTGGCTATTTACTCGTATTCCGTGCACACAATTTAAGAATGAGTTTGTGAACGGGCTTAAATGATGAACAAGAAACTATGCACATTTGTGCAGCAAACATTGGGGATATAACCGAGAATTATCTAGAAGTATAAATTTTTGCATTCAGTTCATATGCCAAAAAGGCAGCACTTTCCTTGCGATATTAACTCCTAGTTTTAGATTTGCACCATTACGTCTCTCGAAAAGGTCTTTTATTTTTTTAAAAAAATCCAAAAATTTGCTTGACATTTAAGATTTATATTCCTGCCATTTGCACCATAGCACGGATGTCATTATTTTCAGGCCAGTGCGAACGCCTGAGCAGGCGTCTTGTTTTAAATAGGGCCTGACACAAAACCTCTCTAGACCGTGGGACGTCCACATGTTATTTTTAGACACAGCATGCAATATGATTGACAAGTGTTGTAGATTTCGTTACACAAAAAAATTATATTCTCATGAACATGTCCGCAGAGTGTGCATTTTGCTTTTTAATTAAACTTAAAAATTCAAGGTACTTTTATATAATTAAGAGTCAGTTTCTCTATTTAACCGAACAGCAAACAAATATTTAATTAGTCAATTCTGTGCACAGCTTGACTGCCAAGCTTTCTCAAGGTCTCAACTTGCTGGACGCGGATATACTCTAACGGGCTAACAACAGCAACAATGAAATTCTCAATCGTACCACGAAGAAGGCGATGTAGCTCGCGGTCTTGTGTCCAAAATCAGTTGTCAAAGATTTTGATAAACCCTTTCAAAATACTGTTTGTTTGATTTATTTTCTGCCACAAAGCATAAAAGAAAAGAAATTCGAAGAAATCGATAATGGAATTTGCTACGTGCGCGTTTGACCTTTATATTAATTGTCGCCTTGAGCCCTTGACCGAGCTATTTTTAAAACTGATGTTTATGTGAACTTGCAACCAATCAAAATATTTCATGATGTTGATCAACCAATCAGATTTCCCGTCCACCAGATGGACGGGAATCCCACAGTTTAGACAGGTTTTTTTGTCAGGCCCTATTCTGGGGGGGAATGCCCCCCCAGTAATATATTATCTCACAGAAAGGTCCCTTTTCAAAAAATGCCCCCTCCCCCTCACGGGAAAATCCTTAAAAAAAGCCCTGAATTCAAACGCCTACTAATCAACTAACATAAATCAATATAAACTGTTTTTTAGTCAACCTCGTTCACAGGGCTGGAAAAGCCCTCAGTGACTAACAAATTTTTTTGAGGGGGGGAGGGCAAAATAGGGGGGGGGGGGGAAAAACCACTGGATAAATCAAAATATCGAAATATCGCCCAACCCTAATAGTGATAGTATCTGTAAGTTTAGTTTATATATTCAGTGTTTATTTATCGATGTGATGAACCGGTTTAATAAAGTTGCGAATATCGAGGGAAACAGGGTTCATATCTCTGCTATGAAGGCTGTACTACTATGTCTATGGCTACCATTGGGGGGGGGGGGGTCACATCCCCCACACCCCCTAGGAGTTGCGCCTCTGATGGCTACCTACTACAAATCTCTGCAGGCAGAGACGTTCTGGCTAGGGACGAGCCGACGAGAACTTGTTGTGGGTCCCTGCCATCATGGGCCCTTAAAATTAAAACATTGGAAAAATAAAAACTATTGATTTTGATTTTGAAAATGAAGATTAACATATTACGATTTATATTTTAAAAATATAAATTTACATCCCAATCTTGACCCATCCATCACTGGGGCTGGGCCCCATCAGACGTTGCTCATTCGTCGTCGACGTCCTTTTCAAGACCCCCAGCACGTCCATGATCTCTGGTTACTATGTATATGAAAGAGTTTACGAGTTTATACTACTATTGTTTGTTCAAAGTCGAGTATTGTCATTAAAATTTTCGTAGCAAATGCCCACAATATACCTTACAGTATTAACATTCGCGCAGTCACTAGAATTCGCACAGGGCTGGGTGCGCAAATTTTAGTACTCGCGAAATATAATCCGCGCAAAAAAACTTTCTGGAAGTAAAGATAAAGCGTACATTCAAAATACCAACAAGAACTAAAACACTTATTATATGGTTCTCGACATTTGCCTAGTACAATAATAGTACTTACGACGCGAATTTTATAACGAACAATGTAAACTAGCCATACATTTCGCCGCACATAACTCTGGCCCTTTCGACATATCTTTTCTCAGTAATAGTCTCATTCGAACAAGAATCCAAAACAGCATTTCGAGTGTTATTTTAAAGCTTGTGTCTTCAGATTTTTATCTTTTATTTCTGTATTTACAGAATATTTATATTTTTAGCGTGGCCCATGAAACGTACATGCATCCAGAACATCAACTGAACAAAGCGCATTTTACATCATGGGTCTGGAAAACCCGAAAATAGATTCTACAGATCAAAGTACTCCCAGTGGCATGGTTTGCACGTGCATGTTTGTAGCATCCGGGAGTTAGCACTTCCGGCGGAAAAAAACAGGCACCTCGAGGAGAACTAGACAGCTGTATTAACAGGGGAGTTTTACTTAGCATAGTTGGGTTTTAAGGTTAAAATACTATATTTGGCGACGAGATAAAATGGCAAATCATGGAAAACTAGAAGAATATGACTCACAAGAGGAATGGAGTCACTATATTGAGCGGTTGGAATTTTATTTGGAAGCAAATGGCGTGGACGACGAAGATAAACAACTAGCGATATTATTGAGTGTTTGTGGTGGCAAGACGTACAAGTTGATTCGGAACTTAATCACGCCGAATAAACCGTCAGAGAAGACATTTGCAGAGCTAGTAGAACTTGTACAACAACATCAACACCCAAAACCGTCGGCAATAGTGCAACGATTCAAGTTTAATACTCGGTTCAGGAAACCTGGTGAGTCAATTGCTTCGTATGTAGCTGAATTAAGAAGTCTTTCAGAACATTGTGATTTCAAGAGTACCTTAGAAGAGATGTTACGTGATCGGTTTGTGTGTGGAATAAATGACGAACAGATTCAGCGTAGATTGTTAGCAGAAAGTTCTCTCGACTTTAAGAAAGCCATAAAAATAGCTACATCAAAAAAAGGAATCAAAGGTAAGACTAAATACCTATACGGGAGAGCAAGTTAAAGTTTTGTGTCAGCTGGAGACTTTGGTGAAGTATGAAGATCAAGAAGGTGTATGGCCTTTACTAGTCATGACGGGGAAGGGCCCTAACTTGATTGGCAGAAATTGGCTCCAAAAGATTAAAATAAATTGGAAGAATTTATTTCAGTTAAAAGAGGACAAGAATACCTCAGTCAAAGTTAATAAGTTACTTGAGAAGTATGAGAAAGTGTTTCATGAAGAGTTAGGAACATTTTCTGGTCCCAAAGCCAAAATATATGTGGCTGAGGATGCAAGTCCAAAGTATTACAAGGCAAGACCTGTTCCCTATGCATTGAGGGAAAAAGTAGAAAAGGAGTTAGAAAGATTGCAAGAAGAGGGAACTATAGAGCCTGTCCAGTTTGCAGATTGGGCAGCGCCAATCGTACCAATTGTTAAGGATCATAAGTCGATAAGAATTTGTGGGGATTATAAAGTAACTGTCAACCAAGCTGCAAAGTTAGACAATTACCCGATTCCCAAGGCAGAATATCTTTTTGCCACTTTAAGTGGTGGAGAAAAATTCACCAAGCTGGATATGAGGCAAGCCTATCAACAAATCTTATTGGAGGATGAATCAAAAAAATATACTACCATCAACACACACAAAGAACTTTTTCAGCACAATCGATTGCCATAGGGAGTGTCCTCGTCCCCTGGGATTTTCCAGCGTACTATGGAAAACCTACTGCAGGGGATTCCTTTCGTGGTTGTGCGAGTGGATGATATTTTGGTCTCTGGTTCGAATGATGAGGAACATTTAGCAAATTTAGAAGAAGTTCTAAAACGGTTGTCAGAGCATGGGTTACGCCTAAAGAAGAAGAAGTGTGCCTTCATGGTGAACGAGGTGGTGTATTTAGGCCAGAAGATAAATAGCGAAGGAATACAACCAATCCAAGAGAAAGTCAGAGCCATCACCAATGCACCGGCACCGACGAATGTGTCTGAAGTTCGATCATACTTGGGAATGATCAACTATTACCAAAAGTATTTACCAAATTTATCAACGATTCTGGCACCACTGCACAGCCTGTTGGAAAAAGGGAAAAGTTGGAAATGGAGTGAAGAGTACCAAGAGGCATTTAGAAAATCCAAAGAGTTATTGAAGACCTCACACCTATTGGTGCATTATGACCCGGAGAAGGAGTTAATACTGGCTTGCGATGCTTCACCATATGGCTTGGGGGCTGTTTTGTCACACCGGATGGAAGACAACACAGAACAACCAATTGCATTTGCCTCGAGATCACTGTCCGCAGCTGAAAAAAACTATTCTCAACTAGAGAAAGAGGCGCTAGCCATCGTATTTGGTGTCACGAAATTTCACCAGTACGTGTATGGTCGACATTTCACCATACTGACAGATCACAAGCCGCTTGAGCGGGTACTTCATCCGGATAAAATGACACCACCAATGGCTGCAGCTCGAATTCAGCGGTGAGCCTTAATTTTATCTGCGTATGACTACGCCATTCAGTACAAAGAAGGAATTCAGAATGCAAATGCTGATGCCCTCAGTAGATTACCATTGTCAGACACCCCAGGTTCAACACCAGTTCCTGAAGAAACAATCGTATACTCATGGAACTGTTGGAGACTACTCCAATAAGAGCAGAGCAAGTGAAGAACTGGACAAATACAACTCCTATACTTGCTAGAGTTTTGAATTTTATTAAACAAGGTTGGCCTAGCAAGTGTCCAGATGGGGAGTTTCAACCATATTTTCAACGACGAGACGAGCTGAGTGTTCAAGACGACTGTATACTTCGGGGAAACAGAGTGGTTGTTCCACCCCAAGGAAGAAGGCAAGTGGTTGACGAATTACATGAAACCCACCCAGGAATATGTAAGATGAAAAGTCTAGCAAGAAGCTACGTGTGGTGGCCGAACATGGATAACGATTTGGAAAACAAAGTACGAACGTGCAACAACTGCCAGATAAATAGAAAGAATCCTCCTGAAGCGCCACTGCACCCGTGGGAATGGCCAAGCCGACCATGGGAAAGAATTCATATTGACTATGCTAGTCCATTCTTGGGGAAAATGTTCCTCATCATGGTCGATGCGTACTCAAAATGGCTCGAAGTGCATCCAACGAATGTGGCAACATCGAGCGCAACAATTGAAAAACTTCGATCAACATTTGCAATCCACGGCCTTCCTAAAACAATTGTTAGTGATAATGGTAGTAATTTTTGCAGTGAAGAATTCGAAGAATTTCTGGTGAAAAACGGCATTCATCACAGAAGGACTGCTCCTTATCATCCAGCCTCCAATGGACTTGCAGAACGGGCGGTCCAGACGTTTAAGGAAGGGATGAAGAAGATGTCAAATAAGGAAAGTTTGGAAACCAGAGTGTCTCGGTTTCTCTTCAAATACCGTATCACGCCACACTCAACCACAGGGATAGCGCCAGCGGAAATGCTTATGACCAGAAAACCAAGATCTCGCTTGGACGTACTACATCCAGATGTAAGACAAAGAGTACAGGACCAACAGAAGAAGCAGAAAGAGTTACACGATCAACATGCAGTGGATCGACAATTACGAACAGGTGTTTTAATATATTCGAGAGAATATGGAAAACAACAAAAGTGGTGTCCAGGAGTGATCAATACACAAACCGGGCCAGTTTCCTATACCATACAGTTGGAAGACGACCGCGAGGTTCATCGCCATCAAGGTCAGGTGATCCATAGAGAAACACCCGAAGAAAACGAAAATGACGTCATGGATCCAGATATCAACCAGCAACCCGTTCCAGACCAACAAGTGGTTAGCGAAGAAAATGCAGTTTCAGCAGCCACCGGACTATTATTCGTGAGTAATTACACTAATTTTAGAGTGTAAAACACTAAGCTTAGGGATTATAAACTGTTAGGTTATAGTGTTGACATTATTAGTTTAGATGTTATGTTGCAGGGACTCTGGTTTTAATCCAGGAAGAAAGGAGTGTAACATCCGGGAGTTAGCACTTCCGGCGGGAAAAATACAGGCACCTCGAGGAGAACTAGACAGCTGTATTAACAGGGGAGTTTTACTTAGCATAGTTGGGTTTTAAGGTTAAAATACTACAATGTTGCTATATATGGGCGCCAAAGGTACATGTGGCGCGTGCGTGCGTGCGAGTGTGCGTGCGAGTAAAACCCGATATTTTGAAAAATTCAAAATAGATATTTCCACTCTGTGACTGTGCCGTATTAAAACGAAACTTTGTACATGAAAACGCTTGAATACAAGGAGTATTTTACTCACATGACTCCGAACAATTCTGAAAAGAAGATACCTACGTTTTTTCCTCGATATGAAATAAAGAATATTTGGCCAAGCGGTGGTACTGAATACATGATTGTTTTGGTTAATGTAATGTTTTGATGGCATTTCACCCCCGTTGAAAAGGTTATTTTGTCAGGATTAGAATAATGTTTTTCGTTTTAAAGGGCGTGGCGGTGGGTAAATACTCGCTGAAATATTTACATACATACATACATACATGACTTTATTTAGAACACGGAGAACCATCAGTACATTTTATAAAAATTATCTATTTACAAATAAAAGCAATTAATATAAGTTAGGAAGAAGACAAGATTGAAGGGAAGAAGGAAAGGAGGAGAGATACTGTTCTACCTGGTTGCCGTGTGGGAGTCGGTAGGACTGGAAGAATATAGGGATTCCAGACTTCCTTTAAACGAGGAGAGGGATGATGATAATCTAAGAGATTCAGGCAAGCAGTTCCATAGTGATGCTCCACTATAACTGATAAACAACTTGCCATTAGAATTTCTTAGTAAATATTGATAATTTCTGGATGAAAACAATTCTTGTAAGTACTGGGGAGATTGACCATTAAGAGTTTTAAACATAACAACAGCTTTTTGCTTTTGACGGTTAACCAACAAAGTGTTCCACTGCAGCTGATCTAGAAGTTGACTAGATGAAATATCGTAAGAAGAACGGGTAATAACACGAGCTGCTCTGTTTTGAAGTTTTTGAAGCCTATCATTTAGAGTTACTCCAAGGCCGTCCCATACTGGAGCACAATAGGAAAAGTATGGTTCAATAAAACCTTTATAGGCTTTAATAGCAGTTTCTTGGTCAATCAGCCCGCGCACCCGTTTTAAAGCTCCAATACCAGAAGAGATCTTTTTAGTGATGACCTCAACATGGTTTCTCCAAGTAAGGTTTTCATCCAAGGTTAGCCCTAGGGTTTTAGTTGAACTAACTTGCCTCACTGGCACATTGTCGACCGAGACACTTGACTCGTAATTATTAAAAGTTGCTAAACGCTGACGTGAACCAATGATCATGAACTCAGTTTTAGCAATATTCAAGCTTAATTTGTTGGCTATTAACCATCTGTTTAGGTTAGTCAGACTAGAATTCATCAGAAATTCAAGGTGAGATAAATTATCACTACTAAAATTTAGGTTGGTATCGTCAGCAAACATCCTTGCGAAACCCTCATTCAGGCAGTTTGGGAGATTGTTGATATAAACCAAGAATAGCAGAGGCCCGATTATTGAACCCGGAGGAACTCCTCTGGATGTAGAAGAGATACCAGAAAACTGACCGTTAACAAAACACTTTTGCTTACGATCAGTTAAATAGGATCTAAACCAAGATTGTGCCAAGTCATCCACACCATATGCTTTCAACTTTGAAAGTAAAATGTTATAGTCAATAGTGTCAAAGGCCTTCTTCAGGTCAATGAAGACTACGCCGTTTAAAAGACCTCTATCGATATTGACACACCAGTTATTAGTTGCTTCTAGTAAAGAAGTGAGGGTGCTGTAATTAGACCTAAAGCCAGATTGATAAGGATTGATAAGCTGATTATCAGTTAAATATGCATAAAATTGGTCATAAACGGGCCTTCCAAAACTTTTAGCAATTGCAGATATGACTGAAATAGGTCGATAGTTGCCGAGATCACCTTTATCCCCATTTTTAAAGATAGGTAAAACTCTAGCCATCTTCCAATCATCCGGATAAATTCCCATGGAAATTGAGCGATTAAAAATGGCCGTGAGTGATGGAGACAAAATCTCGGCAGCTATTTTCAAGACCTTACAAGGAACATTATCAGGACCAGTTGCCTTATTAGGATTAATGGATTTCAGAGTTTTGATTACAGTCTCAACATTTATTTCAGCAAATGAAAATGAGCTATTGACTGGGTTTATATAAGAAATAGGATTTACATCTGAGCTAGGTAGATTGTTGGCAAGGTTATCGCCTATCGTAGTAAAGTAGGTATTGAAAGCATTTGCTATATCAGCTGAATTCGTGATCTCTGCTCCGTCATGTTTTATAGTTTTCACATTTGTGGTTGCATTGGCATTGCGTGAAGAAAGTTCATTAATAAGTCGCCACGTTTTCTTTGGATCATTTTTGGCATTTATAACTAGTTTATTTACAATTATTCTGCTGTAGCTTTTTTGACATTATTGTTGAGATACAAAAGTCCCCCCCCCCCCCCAAAGTACAAATCATCTGGATTGGCAGGGCAAATCATCTGGATTGGCAGGGCAATGAAAGATTTTAAGTGATAGAATGTGAGTTATTAAGTAGATTCCAGGGCTTCCAGCCGGGGAATTGAATAGAATTTATGGACCTAAATTTTACAAATATTGGTAAGAAATAAGGGTTTCGTGCATGTTTTAACAGGAATTTGTCTGAAAAAAAATTTTTGACCCTTAATTTAATTGGTTTATGTCCGGAAAAATTTTTCGCCCCATTTTTGAATGTCCGGAAAACATTTTTTCGACCCTCCCCCCCCCCTCGCTCGCCAACATTTTTGCGAGAAATAGTGGCCAAAACAATTTTTTGCTGCATGGTTTCATCTATAAGCAGAAATTAACTTTGAATGTTTTCAAACAATTAATAATTCATGAGAAATCGTGTTTTTACGTACCTTTGCTGTTTCCGCCATCCTTGAAACCTCGTGGAGAAGATTTGGAGACCAGACCTTTTTGTCCATAAAGTGGTCAAATGTCCCTTAATGTACTCCGTGATCACAGCGTGTTATCAAATGTCCCCAAACTCGGGCAAACATCACTGATATTGGGGATGGCATACTTTGTCAAACCCCTTACTGTCATTGGGGATGGTATCCTTTGTCAAACCCCTACGACATTGGGGATGGCATCCTTTGTCAAACCCCCTACTGTCGCCAGCCCTCCCTCCCCCCTCGGGCTTAATTAACATTGATAGGTGCATTACGCAATATCAAATTAAAGCAACAAAATTCATAAACATTCAAAGCAGTAAATCAATTCTTCTCGTTTCTTCAAACAAAAATTGCTTCAAATCTGATTGTGTGAAACGTAATTTTCCAAATATGTGCTTTTGAAAATTGAAATCTTGCTTATCCCACTCCTGGCAAACAGTCATATTTTAGAGATCAGTGAGGATGACCACCCACAGTTGGTGACCCACGCTCGTGATCATTGATGAACTTTAGACTTCGCTAATGCTCCCCTTTCCCCGGGCGTAAATAGCCGGGCGGAATTAGTACCCGGGCTTCGTAGTAGTACTCACCCCGCTTCGTAGTAGTACTCATTAGTAGTACTCAGCCCGGGCTTCCGGAACGGCGCTCCGCGGCGTTGGCTCGGAAAACAAAATATCAATGTCACTGTCCTCTTCATGATCCAAGTCCAACTGCTGCATCGTAACCGTTGTTGGATATGCGTTCGTAATTTTTTAAATATCATTAATCATAATAATTGAAATATTGCCGGATGGGAATCCCTAATCTCTGTGCTGCCAGATGATAATAATGATAAAACTGAAGATACACCTTTAACTATCGGTCATAACGTCTATGGACGTGGCTTAGTGATGGCCTCGTTAAATATAAATAGCCTTTTAGCTCACATTGACGAACTTAGGTGTAACGTGTTAGTTTATTACGATATAGTTTCTGATTCACAAGAAATCGAGAGAAATAGTCATTTGTTTACAATATATAAAACGCCTAGCTTGTGTTACTTTTTCGTACGCCTCGCTCGCCGCGCCTGTCAATCAAATTAATGTTTTCGTCATCGTGACGTCACCTAATAACATCGTGACATCTTTTCCCCTTTAACAAAATATGAAACTACTGTATAATATAGAATTGTATATATGCATAAAGTACTTGTACTTAACGTTTGAGTTGTTTAACGCTGAGAGCGTTCACTTCATGACATAGTCCTTGTGCCACACCGGTGTATATTTTGTACGCGCAGATCGGCGTGGTAGATTTCCAATGGTCTCAGAGGAGGTTTCACCGTCTAATAGTGGTATGTGTTCGAGATTGGGTTCATTCACAATCGAACTGTTCTCGGGTTCCCTACTGCTTTGCTCAGGTCCAATCTCAGGATCCATACCAGCTGGTGGTGTTGGAGGTCTTTCTTGCGATGCTCGGAGTTGTCGGCGGTTTCGTCGGTATTTCCTTCCACTCCCCTCTACTTCGTACGATCTGTTATCCAAAACCCTGGTACACGTTCCAAGGGTCCATTTTGTTGCATTTGGTAATTTCATTCGTATAGCTTGACCTTTTTTTAATGGCTTAAGAGAATGGTGCGTCTTGTTATAATGGCAAATTTGTCGTGATTTCCGAACAGCCAGTTTATCTCTAGTGCCTTCGTTGATTGGTTGTTTAAGGAGATTTTTGTGAGTCGGTAACAGTGTTCGCGTACGTCGCCCCATCAACCTTTGGGCAGGTGATGATCCCAGACCTTCTGTGGGGGTGTTTCTCCAGTCTAAAAATGCTAACAATGGGTCTTGGCCAGCAGCTTTGGCTTTTGTCATCAGCATTTTGCAAGTCTTGACCGCATTCTCTGCTCTGCCATTAGATTGTGGGT